TTTACTGTCCCAAAACGTGATGACAGACACAAAAAAAAATATAAAAATATAAAAAAAAAAAAACACACATCATTGAAAAACCAATACATTCATCGCTCCGCTCAGAATCTAAAATACTAGATTATTATATAAAAAAAAATCCTTTTACAAAATTTGTAATATCATGTGCGAAGAACTTTGACTAGAAAATCTTCATATTATAAAAATATGTAAGTACCACAAACCATGAAACGATTGAATAAGATTCACGATAGCTTAAAGACTTTAAACTATTGGTTTAATGGTTTTAGTTCTTCTTTAATTTTTTTCTGTTTAAAAACCGATTAATATTGATCCTAAATTGTATGGGTTTTAAATTAATAAAACCGGTTAATTTTTATCTACTACTATGAGAAAAAAAATAAAACTACATTTAAAATTAACTTTATTTTATAATTTTTATGTTTCAATGTAATTTATTAAATCATGAAGGCTAAAGATATCTCTAGACTATCTCTATAGTCTTTATGCATAAAAGTGTATAACACTGATACTAAAAATCTCATGCATGGTCTTAGATTATCAAATTATCGCATACTGCATACTTAATCAGCATTAAAGGCGAAATGTATAAACCTTGGTGGAAAACCACCAAGGTTTATAGATATGTTTTTTGTTCAAGAACGAAAAATAATTCTGGTTAAACATTTCGTTTTCGTTCCATAAAATAATTAATTGAGGTTTCGTTTTCGTTTTCGTTCATGTAAATTTTCCAATACTTCCGGTTAATAACAAAACTGGTGTTAATCGGTTTGAAGCCCTGCTCTAAACTAATGATATAGATCTGATATCTAATGATATAGACCTTATTTAATAACTCTTTATAAGCTCTATTATAATTTATAAACTCTATCCTAACCTAATATCTAACTCAACTTATCCATCTCAACAATAGCAGTAATTAATTTCATTACGACGATCATTAGATTATAATATCAAGGGAATTCTTTTCAAGGAATTTCTATAAAAATCAATTAAGTTTTATCTGTTGGGCCAAAAAGTGTAAAAATTTAATACAAGACTCCTGCTATATTGTCACAATATCAGTTGAAAAATATTAAAAATACAGAGGAACATTTTTTTTTTATAAGCATTTAAAGTTCAAATTTGTACGAATATACATAATAAAAAACCTAGAATAACTATTTTAGTTATTTTGTTGTGATTGTATAATATTATGCGTGGGTACTTGAAATTTCTAAAGTATACTACTATATATCTATGATAGTAACACGGTTTGTTATTGATGTATAACTCGTTATAAGTACCTAATGTATATTGTGATATGATTAATTTTAAATTTATTATAGGTATCTATTATAGGTCAATTTTTTTTTTAATACCATCGATAAGTAGGTATTTACGTCTTATACCTAGACTGACATACCGTCTCCACTCAGAATCGTTTTTCTTGTACAATGATATTATAAAATTGAATTCTAATTATAACCATCCATTATACAGTGACCCACTTGTAGCCTACAGTACAGCAGAGCACCTTTTCAAGATTGCTCACCCCATTTTTATGTGTATATATTCAATGCTGGAATTTTTTGAATTAATTTAAAGACTATATTTTCAACTACTTATATTTTTCACAACATTTAATAAGTATCATGGGCAGTCCGACTTTAGTTGTCCGGATGAGATCAAATATCAATGCAAATCGCGAATCATATTATGAGTTTATTTAAAATGACATAGGTAGTCGAAATTTGAACGAAAAGATTCTAAGTTATTACTCAAGTTCTTATTATACTTCAAATACCAATGGATAATACTCTTTTAATTGGATATCGGATATGATTTACTTATGTTTTGAAAATTATTAGGTGCAATATTAATATTTAATTATTTTGCAATTTTAAAAAAAAAATTTGATTACAGCTGACAAAGTAGTAAGTAATCAACAAATATTATCTATATTGCGTACTTAGCTATAATTAAAGATCTCATACCCATTTATAAAATACCTAATATTGATAGTCTTGTAAAGAATACTTTTATTTTATATTTGGATTACGTATTTGAATACATTTAAAAATATATATTATTTAAATACTCGAAAAAGTAATAGACACTTATAGAATATATTTTTTCCCCTCTAATATTTGTCAGTTTTGGATTGGTTGGAAATCAACGTTTGTTAATAATATTTCATTCAAAGAGAAAAACTATTGATTAAAGTTATAACTTAGGTACAGGGTGTAACAGGAAAATCTGACAAAAAAAAATCACTTGTTTCAAAACAATGACTCTTAATGGTTTTTTTTAAATATCATTTACAGATGATGCTTGTGTTTCACGTATAGTATACATTTTTTTTATTTTTCAACACTTAAATAAAAAATTTTAACTTAGGTGTAAGTACATTTTTTTTTGAAAAATTCATAATAGCCAATTTGTAAATCTTGTTTTTAGAAAATTATTGATTGTAAAAACATTTATGTAGCTAAATTAATTTTTAACATTTTTTGAAATTTCATTATTGGTAAATAAAGTTGATTCGCTTGTAAATATAATTATAATTCATAATAATTCGCTAATACTTTATAAACTTACGATTTTATGTTAGAAATATTTAAAAACTGTTGAAAAGTCTAATATAATGCATTAAATATTTTGGACCATAATTTTTCGACCAAAGTCGAGGATTAGAAAGTACTTAGATTGATTTTTGTATGAGGCTTAAGAGACGAGGGCCATAAAAGTTTATATAAATTATTATCTACTTTTCATGTAAACCAACTAAAGAGTAGAAATGTAATTTTAATTTTTATGAATTTTAATTTTCAACAGTTTCGTGTTTTTAAGTGGTATGGTACATTTTTATTCTGTTTTTTTATTGTAATTTACGAATTTGTATTTGTCAAAAGCAATGTGTTGCGGGTTTAATATAAACTGTTCTAGGCTATATTATATCATATATGTTATTTAGGTGTTGCGTTCGGTGAATATTTATTCACCGTAAAAAATACTATTTCAACGTCCTATATAATAATCGAAAACAAAGCTAACGGAATATCTGTGTTGAAAACATGCACAAAAACCACTGAACAAACAGACAGTAAGAATGGCTTATAAAAGTCAGTAGTTCTCGCATTGTCTAATTATTGTTTGCCACTTAAAGTCGTAATTATAACATTAAACTGCTTAGACACTGTAACACTGTCTTTTTTTTTAAAAATGACTTCAACTTTATTAAAGTATAATGTCGTAATACATATAGTACTATTCATCGGAATGACATTGATTCATAATTCGTGTCAAAAATTTGGTAATATAATTTTTATTTATATAGTATAATATGTTTTTAGTCATGTTATTCATATTATAGATAACTGTATGGGTAATGTATTTATACATGTACCCTACTTACATTATACAGATCACATGCTAGGACTGACAATTTTTTATGATTTAAACCAATTTTTTTTTGTAGTAGGTTGATAGTAGGCAGATTTTAAATGTTTGAATGGACCCCCACAAATATGACTGAATTATACGCCACTGACCGTTTACTCAAGAATTGTATAGAATATTAATGATCAATGATCAAAAAATATCCTCGATGTACACTTACTATAGGTATGTATAACATTTTAACATTTTATCATCTCATGGATCCAGTTCAGAACGATGATTGTTCAACTTTTTTAATTATTTTTTTTTCTCCCAGACAGTTGCCCAATTTTAAATAAAAATGATGAAAATGTTTGGTTGTTTGATATTAATAAAGTGTACTTTTTTTAAGTTTATTTTTCTGAATTTAAAATACTCGTAAAAAAAAAATCAAGCATAATATGCATATTATGTATTTTTATTAATTTGAAACTTACGAGGAACCATATATTAAATGTTCAATCTTTTAGACCTAGTAAAATTTTTTTATTAATAGTTTTATAAAAAAACTAAAAAATAGAGTATGATACAAATAGATTAAAAAGAGTCAAACTATTTTGAACATTATTTCTTATGAATTCATTATAAAATAATCATTTGGTAAAAATTTAAATTACCTACATAATTTAGTTAGTTGTTACCTATTGTCTATAGACTTACTACAAAATATCGAAAATCGTTGGAGGGGAAACTGTTATTTTATGGTTGAATATCCATCTTAAAAATTTGAATTTTAAACGCTAATATAAAATTAATGTGACTTTCCAGTAAATTTTCCTTTATTATTATGTATAGAAAGACAAACATATTAGGAACCTTGAATTACATTTTCAACTCTCGTAAACATTTCAACTTAAGTCGCTCAATAAAAAAACTATTGTAATTTCTGCTAAATTGGAACGAGAGATGGACCTAGATGAATAGGACGATTTGTATGAGAAAAATATTTAATGAGTTAAAAAAAAATAAATTTTATCTAAAACAAATGTATAATAAATTATTATACATTTGTTTTGTAGATCATTTTACCCGAGATCGTCTGGTGGCACTAAAATTACTTAAGGCTATCTTATTCTCAATAATATTATTTATAGGTAAATTACACAAATATTTAAAATAACACTAAATCAGATAATATTTAACGTAAAACTATCGGTTAAAATATAATAAGACATATTGTAAAATCCAAAACGTTTTAACTACTGTATAAAATACGATAAACGAAAATTAATGTCTATAACGTATGAATTCTAAATAAGAATGAAAATTATATTATAATATAAAATGATAATAACAAAGTTGAGTAACATGTTCATTTCAAATAATATAAAATTAAATTATTTTTTCAGATGATGAAAGACTTAAAGAGTAATTAACTTAAATAAATATTGTACACGAGATTACTGATTTCATTGATTTCCAATGATTTTGGTTTATTTAAAATGCGTCATAAATGTAGACAGCTCTTTTCCCTTGGTTGACAATCTTAAGGCTTTGTTACCCAGCTTCCGTAAAACCAGTTAGTGACCCGCGAGCACAGGTCCAACCAAACTGTTCTACTAGCTTTCCAGGCATAGACTCCTTCTCACCATCGTATACGCAATATTTAAGCTGTGGCTACTTTTTGGTCCATTTATCTCCTGAAACTCGCTTGGTAGCTCCGTTTTTGGGAGAAAACTGTAGCGCAACTCTGCACCTGTCTTCGGACCACCAGTAGACTGGGCTCTAATTATAAGGGCCGGTAGTCTTGGGGGAATTGAGGCTGACTTGTTTCGAGCATCGTGGTCAGGATCAGTCCCGTTGGCATAAAAACTGAACTCCATGTAATTGTGATCGCTTTGGGATTCGGTATCTAGTATAGACCATCTGGAGACGACCACGCTTCTGTAAAAAGTGACGTCTAAGATCCAGGTGGAGTTACCCCTTTCGAAGGTGGAAGCATTTCTGGTGTTCGCCAAGAGTAGGTCGTGGCTTGAGTTCCCCTATTATATCATTGGTTTTGAATCCCCAGATACTATTCTTTACGTTAATGTTATCAGTCAGGATTACGCCCGATCAGGCTTAAAGACAGAAGGAACGGTGAAGGTCGTCGAGAAACGCAGTGAACTCCCATATTTGACAGTTGGAGAACAGTAACAAATATAATATACAATAGTGCTGCTGAAGCTGCACCACGAAAAATATTTGAGTGGCCAGAATTGTTGTGGACAATGTCAGCATGTCTGAAGGTTGTTATAGAGCACTTTGGGTAAGAGCTAAAGATCTACATTTCATCCACACTCCCCACCATCGAGGGTTTTTTTACCTTGAGCATCTGAGATTTTCGCTTCGAGGCAGTTTGTTATGCTCCGTTCAGGTTAATTGTATCTCGGTCAGATTTGGGTCGGGGTCGTTCTGATCGGGGATAGGTAACAAAATGGAGATCCTCTAGCACATCGTCTGCGATGGACACAGCATCCTGGTCAAGGGTTTCCTATTATAAGTACCTACTCTATATTCCAATACAAGTATATTAATATAATAGTTTTTTTTAAAATATTATTGTAGAAATACGTGGAACTTGTACTACACTCCTGGCAGCCCACCATGCAGATCCGTTTTGATGACAGCCAAGGCTTTGAATTTTGAAATGAATTTGATACCTATGGATCTCTTCAGCGGTGCGCACTTGCAACCAAAATTTTTGGCGGTAAGTTTTCAAAAAAATTGTATTATCATATTGTATTGTAATTATACCTATTAATAAAAATAATAATTGTACGTTTTGAAGTGAATTTTTCTGAATTTACAAAAAAAAAATCAAGCATAATATGCATATTATGTATTTTTTATAATATAGTTAGTTGTTACCTATATTCTATAGACTTACGACAAAATATCGAAAATCGTTGGAGGAGAATCTGTTATTTTATGGTTGAATATCCATCATAAAAATTATCGTACAGCGTACGGTATTAATTAAAATTGTTGTTATTTTACAGATAAATCCTCAACACACTTTACCTACACTGGTTAAAGATAATTTTGTTTTATGGGAGAGGTGAGTTTTAGTTATGATAGTTATAACTATACGAGTTATAACTATTGAATGATATAATACATAAATAATATATTTAGTTTATTTAACTGTAACACAAATAAATTAAAGTTAGTCATGTATTTATTTATTTTAAACATACGAAGTGTGAGTCCGGACAACGATCAATCGATTTCGATCTTAATAATTTGATTAGGTTTATATATTATACATTTAACAATATAAGACCACTGACTGATTGTACTAATAGTATAATATTAAACAATAATTACAAGTTTTTTTAATATGGTTTTTGTTGTAGCCGTGCAATCATGGTGTACTTGGTAGAAACTTTTGGAAAAGAAGACCATCCACTGTTCCCCAAGGACACGAATAAGCGAGCTCTTATCAACCAAAGATTGCAGTTTGACATGGGCACCTTGTACCAGGCTTTTATCGACCAATACGTAAGTATTCACATCATATTATAACAACGAATTAGTATTTGTTTTAATTTGTCGTTGTTGTATGAAACGATGACTTACTCGTTCGGTGTTTAAATTAGTAATAAATGATTATAAAAAAAAATTGTGCTTATGTATTTTAAATATTTTCAACTACTATTTTAATAACATACTAGTAGTCTTGTATTACATTTTCCAGTTTTTTGACTTACCAAATACAATTTACGGACATTTTCAGTTTTCAATTTTTTAATTTTTTTTTTATAAATATCAATAAAATTAAAAAAAAATTTAAATTTAAAATTTTATAATAATTTTATAGTTAAAAATTTATAAAATGTTCAACTTTTATAGCTAACTAGCTGATCCCGTGCACTTCGTTTCCCGTTAAATGTACCAACTCTATATGACTCAAACATTGTTCAATGCGTTATTTAATATTCGGTGTATGATGTTCTAGATTTATCTTAACTTTTCTGTTGCCCGGAATAAAAATTCTGTTTCGCAGCAGTATATTATCAGGTAGGCAATCTACCTGTGGTAGATCGCGGACCCCGTGCTGTTTGTACGTAAGTGTATGATTCAACTCAAAAAGTACCAAAGTTATACCAAGGTTGACGTTTTTACTTAATTCCACATACCTATAAATCCTAACCTGACCTAACCGTACTAAAATCCGATGAATAAAAAAACCAAATTTAACCCTTTTTAAATTAGCGTATCTTCTTCCCATAGGTCTAATCTACACACCATCATTCATTTATATATATATATTGACAAAAAATAATAATACAAATCAACAAACATGCCTGATTAACCAATAGCAACCAATATAGTATAATACACCATAGAGTAAATAAAGACAACGGTATCGAGTTCAAATCCCAGACATCAATAAATAGTTATTGCAGTTTTTGTAATTATTCAGTTGACTTTTTAAAAATGCTCCTTCGTAAAAACCTTCACCTGTTAATTACGAACATCTTAAAAAAAAATGAGACAAATCGGACCAGCTGTTCTCTAATATTTTTTTTTTCGATTTTTATCGATATTAATCGATTTCAAGCCCTGCTATTATCGATATTTGTATTATTATTTATATTATATTTATATTTTTATTTTTATCTGCTAGAGGGCGCCACCGGTGTAACTCAGTTTTTGTCTCCAAATCTCTAATTCACATGAGTTAGGTCCATAATTTATGCTATAAACCCACTCACCGACATTCTCTATCATTTAAAAAAAATTTGAGCAAAATCGGCCCAGCCGTTCTCAACTGATGCTATTTCGAATTTTTTGTCTCCATTTTTAGCTAATGATTGAAAATTTAAAACAAGATACTACGTAAATAGTTTATATTATATAAAATACTTTATTCACCTTAGTGTCATCAAAATATATACTTAGTAATATCATAGGCTGACTAACCGTTTTCGCTCAGAATCGTTTTTCTTATACAATGATATTATATCATTGAATTCAAATTTAATCCCATCCATTATACAGTGACCCACTTGTAACCTACTGTACAGCAGAGCACCTTTTTGGTTACAATTTTAACTATTAATGAAAATCTATGTTTTAAATATTCAGTCCTCAGTTATAAAAATTGAACATTTTCTACCTTTTTAATTACAATAATTGATAATTTTTGAGATTTTAATAAAATTTGTAAAAATTCAAACTTTAAATGCTTATAAAAAAAAAATTGTGCTTATGGATTTTAAATATTTTCAACTACTATTTTAATAACATAAAAGTAGTCTTGTATTACATTTTCCAGTTTTTTGACTTAGCAAATAAAATTTTATTGACATTTATAAAAAAAAAAAAAAATAAGAAATGGTGTTTAATTTTACGTTTCTCTGCTTTATAAGTGAGTCACTGTAATGGATGGTGTTATATTTTAATTCAATGATTTAATATCATTGTATAAGAAAAACGATTCTGAGCGAAAACGGTCAGTCAGCCTAAGATATTACTAAGTATATATTTTGATGATATTAAGGTGAATAAAGTAAATTATATATAACCTATTTACATGGAATCTTGTTTTAAATTTTCAATCCATGGCTATAAAAGTTGAACATTTTGTAAATTTTTAACCACAATATTATTATTAAATTTTAAATGTGATAAATTTTGTCAACATTTGAACTTTAAATACTTATAGAAAAAATTGTGCCAATATATTTTTAATATTTTTCATTTGCTATTGTAACAATATATCAGGAGGCTTGCATTAATTTTTCACACTTTTTTACCATCAAAAAAAATTTTATTGATATTTATAGAAACTAAAAATATTGATAACACAATGTCCGTAAACAGCTCAAAAGAGCCAAATTATTTTCAAAATTGTATGGTGTATAGAAAATGCTAAAATAAACATTCAGAGAAATTTCCAAGTACCTGCAGTCAATCATTTTTTAATTACAGTAAAATAAGAAAATCGTTACATGAGAAATCGAGTGAATATCAAATGTTGTAAAAATATGAATTTCAAACTCTCATACAAATTTCATTACACTTTTTTGTAGACATGTTTTTTTTGTTAAAGGTAGACAAACTTATGAAGAATCATGTATTACATTTGCAAATTTTAGATTTAAAAAGAAAATTTTTATGAATTTCTAATTAAAAATAATTTACAAATTTTCGTCATTTTTACATATTTTGTCAATATTTGAACTAAACTTAAAAAAAAAAAATTGTGTCTATGGATTTTTAATTTTTTTCGTGTGCCTTTGAAACAATATACTAGGAGCCTTCTACTAAATTATCAAGCTTTATTAAACAATAAAAACATTTTTATTGATATTTATAGAAAAAAAAAATGTGAACTGAAAAATATGTCCATAAACAGCTCAAAATAAGTAAAAATATTTGGAAAATGTTATTTTGTATAGAAAATGCTAATTTAAATATTCAGTCAAAATTTTATGTACCTACAGTAATTTGTTTAATAGTGCACCAAAACCCAAAATCAAAAACAGATTTACCGTAAAAATTAACGTTTTTCCTTAATTTTTTATTGTTTTTCATGGAAATTTTTACTTTTGACTCCCCAAGGTACCAACTAGATTAACTTTCCTATCAGAAAATATACTGTTGAAGAAAATCCAAGCACTTTTACTGTCCTAAAAGGAGATGACAGACACAAAAATTAAAAATTAAAAAAAACACACATCATTGTAAAATCAATACATTCATCGCTCCTCTCATACTGCAGTATCTAAAATTGGAAACTGAAAATATAAGTCAACAGATCAAAACAAGTCAAAATTAAATGGTGTATAGAAAATGCTAATAAAAACATTCTGTCAACATTTGGTGTATTTACGTTCATTTGATTTAGAGTTACACCAAAAACCAAAATCGATTTTGTCAAAAAACCTATTTTGGGTGAAAATTTCCGTTTTTCTAAATTTTTATTTTGTTTTTCCCTGTTTTTCTTAAATTTATCGGAATTTTTAAATTTAAATAAATTTCTACAGACGACCTTAAAACAAATTTCTCAAAAAATTCTCAAAAACCACACATAATAAGTAAAATAAAATACCTTATCGACGCATTAATTTTTATTTGTATGCATACACATAATATATTTATCAAATTGCGAATTAAAGTTGAAGATTTTTTTTCATTTCACAGTACATGTGGATTTTTGGTTATTCAAAAAAAACCGAAAAAAAAGAGAAGTTACTCCAAGAAGCAATCGGGTTTTTGGATACCTTTCTGAAAAATTCCGATTGGGTTGCTGGCGATTCAATGACTTTGGCCGATATATCTTTGGTATCTTCTATTTCAACCTTCGAGGTATTTTCTTTTTGAATTTTTTTTTATACATCATTATTATAACTTTGGCACATGTTAACACAAACTTTCGTATTTTTTTCAGGTTTCCGGCGTTGACTTGAGTAGGTACGAAAATGTCTCTAAATGGCTTCAAAGGTGTAAAGATAAAATGGTGGGATACAAAGAAATCAATCAAGTTGGAGCAGAACGATTCAAAGCATACGTAGTCGAGAAAATAAATAAAACAGGTCCACAAACGGATTTAGTTACCAAGGAAGATATATTTACAGCGACTGAAGTACTAAGAAATGCTGTAAAAGCTAAGATCATAGGTGAAGAATTTTCTGATTCATTAAGCAAAATAGATGAAGCCGTGTCGGTCTATTAGTCATTTAAAATTGTAATAATAAATACTAAACACTAATAATAATTTAATGAATATAATATTACACTATACATTAATATGACAAATAAATAAAATAAGTTATTTCAAATTGTAAAGGTTAATTAAACGTACCATTCACCAATTTATCCTTTTATATAATTAAACAACAAATATTTTTGATATTTGTTGTAACGGTGTTGACTTCGGATATACTATTTGTTCGTGAAATTATGTGTGATAGCGATTTTGATAGTTTGTTCTTTTACACTACCTGATCAGTGGTGTATTTATGAGGGGGGGATCAAGGGGATTTTTTTTTTGCTTTTGATTTTTCCTTTGTACAGACCTACTCTGTTTTAAGCTTTTCCGCTTCTTCCAGAGAGTATGAAGTGTTATTGTATATTGTTTATTGTAGTTTCTTATTTATTATTAGGTTAGGTCAGTGGTCTTCTCTTGAATCGTTCTTTATGGCTTTTTCTGTTTACTATTTCGTTAATGTGTTCGAAGCTTGAGTGTGCTATTTTTTGTTTGATTTTAGTTCTCTCGCTTTTTATAGTGTCATCTATTGATGGCATGTTCAATGACATTCTAATTGCATGGTTGGAGACGAACCAGTGCCAGACTTTATCGAAGGCTTTTTGGATGTCAAGAAAGTTGCTGCTGTTTTGTGTCTTATATGAAGGTTGTTGGTGACTGTATCAATAAGATTGATCAGTTGAACGGTGGTACTGTGTTGTACTAGTTGATTGTGGATAAATTCTCATAATGAAATTCACAATAAAAATATCCAAAAAACTTTTTCAAGGCTCCAAAGTTCATATTCTTGTCTTTATATTTTAAAATACCTAGATAAAAAGTAAAATCACTCAAATATTATAGTTAATATTAAAACGGATTATTTTTAAAGTAAAATTGTGTGTTCAAATCAGAAATATTATATATTCAAACTTAGGGGAAACATCCTATGATTCATACTTGAAGGACTAGAAAAATACAAAGGAATTTTATTTTTGGAAACTGAATCAATTTCAATGTCTAGTATGATATATCAATCGGAGAACACACTTGTTTTACAATCGAAAATTCAAGACGGATGTCGTGTTCTGTGAAATCGTACGGATCTGTTGGTATAATAATAATGTGGTTTAATTTACAAGTGATTTCCATATACACAAAATAATAATTGATAGGTATGCCTGGTGTACAATAGATTTAGAAATTAACAATACATTATAACAAGACTATAGTATGGGCTGATGTACAACAGTTTATGGATCACAATACAACAGTACCAAATACATAAACGATTTAAATAATAATTAAAATATAAATCACATAGAATATAATAATAATTCGACTATTTGAGCCGCTATGTTACATTGCTAGCTATAATGCAGAGCGCATTATTTAACAAAATGTACCTAGCTAGTTACATAACAATAAAAATAATAATTTTCTTCGCTCGCTATTTGGCAGAGCACACTATTCGTTGCTTTGCGATTTATAAAATTTAAAAGGCCTTTATTTTTCCGCTCAGACGATAATAATATTTTACCCGCTATAAAGCAGAGCGCACTATTTAAACAAAAACGAAATTAATATGACTTGGTGGTACATAAAAAGACGCACAGGAAGAGGCAACGCGTATTTTGAGACATTTTTGTACGTACTGAACTATTTAATGTGTGTGCGTGTGTGCGTGTGTGTGAGATACGGTATTCATTATCATATTAATTGTTATGTAATATACCTCGCGCATTTGGTTTTTGACACTGCGATAGTAGGCCTTATCTGATACCTATCACTAGCTATTATAATAATATTTTTGCTGACGATATGCGGAGTATAGGCGTCAACAGGCATGTCATCGATATACACAGAAAATAAATATGGTGAAAGGCAGGACACCTGAGGGACACCTGCACTTACTTTTCTGGAGGCTGATAAGATGTCACCAATTTTTATTTGGTATGTTCGGTAATAGAGGAACGATCTGTGGATGTTGACAAATTGATGGGGCACATTCATTGCTAGTAGTTTGTAAATAAGTCATTCATGCCAGACTTTATCGAAGACTTTTTGGATGTCAAGAAAGGTTGCTGCTGTTTTGTTTCTTATACTAAGGTTGTTGGTGACTGTATCAAGAAGATTGATCAGTTGAACGGTTGTACTGTGGTCCGATCTGAACCCGAATTGTTCTGGACGGATTTTCGTTAATAAAAAACGTATCTTTGAGGAGATATGAACACTAGAGTGGCCGAATTTTTGGCAGTTATAACACTGTGCTGAAGTATTTGATTTGTAGCTTTCTATTTTTACTGCCGTGTAAAACATTGAACGCAAGTTGAAAATACCTCTGTTTTCTGGTGAGTTTTTCAACACTACCATGTGAATGGGCAGTTTTTGGTCTTTTTTTTCCAAATTGTCTAACGTTAGTTACTGTGAAACCTAGTTGGACTAGTTCTTCCAATATTTCTGCTTCTGATATTTCCCTATATTCAATCCTAAGCAATTGTTAAAATAAATATCATATTTATTTTTTTTATACCAAAGAGTTATTTCTTTATACTACCCTATCCTATAGAGAACCAATAATAAATATAATATCCACAGAGATACTTTACAAAAAAATTAATATCTACAATGATATTTTACAGAGTAAAAAAAAACAAAAATAATATCTACAGTGATATTGTACAATATAAAAACAAGTCATTATGAATAAAAAACTATCTGTTTAGCTTGGCTACTGGAAGTTGCATTAATTCAGCTGCTGCTTGCTCTAGTGTTATGGTTTCCCTATAAAATTTAGTAATATTAAAAGAATGATAAATTAAAATATACGACCTGATGAGATGTGAAAAATTAGAGATGTAGCTATAGTGACTGTTATCCTCTTCGGATGTAATAAGTAGATCGAAATGGTCGGGTTTTTCTTCATCTACTACTTTTAACGGAAATACTTTATACTCCGGAAATTTTGGCAGTTGAAATTGTTTGTCGATACCTTAAACATTCACAGAGACGTTTGGATTATTTTTTTCAAAAATTTTAACCTGATGTAGTGGTGTTGAAAACGATAGATTTGTAAAATAATATCTTTCTTGGTGTTTGAAATAATTATCACCAACTTGATGTTTATTATTTCCTGTGACATGTTTTGCTAGGATTGCCCATTTGAAGCATTGTGAATCTGAGTTCTGCTGATTAATCACAGCTTTCTTATTTTCTATTACGTCCAGTAGTGCCATGTAAGATGAATCACCCATAGGTGTATATTTATATATACCTACCATTAACCCATCAATACACTGCAATGTGAATCCACTTCCCTCCCCAGCGTAGTCATCTTGCTCTAGCATTAATTTAGTAAATCCCTCTTCAACAATTTCCTGTACTATGGTATCACAGAAAATCGCCTTAGCCGAAGTTTTAAAAGATGTTTCCGATGAATATTCCACATTCGGTATATTATATGTTGCCTCAAGCTTTAAATTAACTTTGATATGATTTTAGTAATTCGACTAGTTCGGATTTAATCGAATCTAGAAAGTAGATAGGTATAGTTTTGAATATTGTTGGTGTTTTTTACGTAATACCAGGTGATAGTATTGTTTAATGATGTATATATTGTTGTAAGCCCTTGAGACTTTACGAGATTTAGGAGTATATTTTTTGTCCTAACAGCAGATTTAGAGTTGGCGCTGGAAATACAGGATCGTCGGATTGTTATATAATATATCGGGTGTGTTAATATCTGTGAATTTAAATTTACATTTAAATAACTCAATGCTTATTCACCATTATTTTTGTAAATAGAATAAAACACTAGTATAAGCGCCTTCTAGTTGAAATCCGTATAACGGCTGGTTGAACGATATATAGTTAGCTTTATAAAAGTAGTATATAAAATATACGGAATGCATATATATATATATTGAACATCGTTAATTTATATTCAATTCACTTATCACATTAAATATTCGAGAGGCTGATAATTCTATTTCTGTTGCATCTATGTCTACAGGACTAATATCATACATTTTTCTTAACTCGTGTATACCTGACCATACCTGCAAGCGATGTCCACAATTTTCACACTTTTTAAATTCTCTTATTAATCCCAGCATGGTGGGTTTATCATATACATACAGATGTAAATGCTTTAACGAAGTGTGTTATATTGATATGTACCTAAGCTGTATAATATGTTTGGTTGTGTGTGTGTACTACGTTTAGTATGTATGTATGTATGTATGTATGTGTGTGTAGTAAATATACAGTCCTGTAAAGTATTTAAGTAAAAGTATTTGAGTAAAAGTATTCAAATACTTTTTTAAGTATTGAATAACTTTTTAAATACTTTCAGCATGAAGTATTTTGAATAGTATTTTAAATACTTTTTTTTGTATTAAATACTTTTTGGTATTGAATACTTTGGTTTTTTATTTCGAACATTTTATTTTTATTCGAAATAATTGGTTGGAAAAATATTATTGTTAACTAAAATAATAGAATAATAGTTTTATTTAATATTTTGTATTTCTGTGTTAGCCGTAGCCCGATGGATTGTAAAAACCAGATTTCTAAAAATAGTTATTGAATAACAATATTCCCTTTAAACTATAACTATTAAATAACCTACTACTGTTTGCATTACGATAATTAGAAACCCACTTAAAAAACTAAAAGTATTTGAAAAGTATTCCAAATACTTTTTCAAAGTATTTGAGTAGGTAGTATCTTAAATACTAAAAAAAAATGTATTTGAGTATTTACTCAAGTACTTTTTAAAAGTATTCTTTACAGACTGCATATTTATAAGTTTAGAATGAAAAACTGATGTGTTCTATATGGTATTGTGTGTTTGAAAGTATATTATAGTTTGTAAGTGTATGATATTTAAAAGTATAAATATATGTATCGTATTCTAATGATGGGTTTTATTGTTATATAAATATATATATGTAAACTGTAAAATATGTTTAGGACTTGACGCGGTCCCGCAGTTTGAATTCAAACAGCATTTACGCCGAAGTCGCACTGTGGCTTCTTAAACAAACCACCAATCGACGACGGACGACGCACGCAGGCGCGACACCCTCGCCAAATTATTTTCCATGTTGGTCGGTGTCGGCGGTCTTAGGCAGGGAAGAGCGTGGTGGCGGGGTTATATCGTAAACGCGTGTGATAGACAGCGGGATCAGTAGACTTCTGTATATAGGGTTCATCAAGGGGTAAATGGAAGAGCGGGGTGGTGGAGATACATCGTATACGTATATGATAGATATACTCAACCCATAATGGGTTGAGCAGAAGAGGAACACGGGCTCAGCTAAACGGTGTAGTGGGTTGAGAAAGGGTGATGTAGGATTGAGACAGCAGATTCAGAATCCAGGACTGTCTTTTTATTCCTACTAATAATCAGTCGGCCGACCGGTTTTCGTCAGTGCCGCGCATACCCCACCAATTTCCCCGTGATAACGCGATCACGTGGTTCTCGAAGCACCAATCGAATCATTCTTGATGCGCGAAAAGTGATTATTCTCTTTTGGGACGGAGTATATATCCTAATATAACTTTAGATTAGTTTTTATTTATAAAATAGCTGAACTTATACACATATTGTTGTAAGTTATTAAGTTATCATATTATTATGAATATAAAAAAAAAGTTAGTCAATTAAAATAATTATATGTAAAATTAAAAAACGCTAACTTTTTTTTTATTTTCATATTATAATACGGTTTTATATAAAAATTTTTTTTCGAATTAATCGAGGGACAGAGGAGAAACCGGCGAACCGCGTTATCATTACTTCTCCTCCGGCCACCATTTTACATAAACTTTCAAAAATATGTGTACAAGCTCAGCTAATTTATAAAAAAAAACAGCCACCTATACCTACCTATACATTTAACTTTTGAACATATATTGGTCTTTAATTTAATTTTTCTTTCATCTCTACTTGGTTTTAATTTTTCAATGAAATATAATATGTATAGTGTATACCTATATAATACTATAAGTATGTATTTATAGTTAAATATTAATAATGTGATATTTACACCAATTATAGCGTTTAAAAAATATTTGTTCAATCATTTTCTTGTGTTTGTGAGTAATTTAAACTAATATTGTAGATTATTTTGATTACCACAGATATAGTTTACTATTACTGTGAAAAATGAAATTTGAGTAAAAAAAAATATTTATTTTATATTTTTACGTATATATATATATATATATTATATGTGGGCTATGGGGGTGTTGGGGCATCGCCACCACCGGTTACTTTTCATGTAATATCAGGTGGGGGCTACAGCCCCCCCAACATTTTAGCCATAGTTGTGCCACTGGCGGAATGGTAGGAGGAAATTGTTATGTAATGTTATCATTGATTGTAAAAAAATCAAAAGGGCTCATTGATGGTGAGTTTATGAAGGAATGTTTGGAAAGTTTTGCAGATATGATGTGTCCTGAGAAAAAACCGACTTTTCAAAAATTAGTCTGTCTCATCATACTGTAAACAGAGGAATCAGTGATATAATAAATTACATCAAAAATTAACTGGAGGAAAAGTCAATTATTTCAAATATTATGCTTTGGCTATTGATGAAAGTACCAATGTAATGGATACGGCTCAATTTGTTAGTTTTGTTACAGGTATTGATAGTAAATTCAGTTAAGAAATGGCTTCTTTAGTACCACTGAAAGATACTACAAAAGCTCTCTATTTGTTTGAGGCAGTAGAAACTACAATGAATACATTTTCTTTAAACTTGTCAACGTATAAGGTTTAGCTACAGATAGTGTCCCTGCTATGGTGGGTTAAAATGAAGGACATTTAAATTAATATAAGACCTTCTGGTTTTAGTATTCAACAGACGTTTGATGAGATACCACTAAATTGTTCATTAGGAGAATGTAGATGCGAAGGCTTTGCAAATGGATAACATCTTGCAAATCGCCATCAAATGTGTTACGTTTGTTCTAGGCAGGGGGGGACTCAATTATTGTAAATTTCAAAACTATCTTACACTCATGGAAGTAGATTTTGGAGACGTTATTTACTTTTCAGAAGTAAAGTGGCTTAGTCGATATAAAATGCTCAACAGATCTCAAAATTGGTGAAATAAAATAAAGTCGTCCATGGAGTCAAAACGAAAACCTATCATATACCTAGTATGCTTATGGATTTAGCGTTTTTAGTTGATATAACTACCTACTCATTTAAACGAGTTAAACTTTAGGCATTTAAAAAATATATTAAAAATTGAAAGAATTTTTTTAATTGGATACAATAACAACCAATTTATTGATCATAGGATTGATTTTGGATAATAATGTGCCTCTTTCTTAGTAATATTAAGTCATGTTTCGTTATGTAAAATTGACGTTAAACAAAATATTTGTTACATGAAATACCAGTTTTCGTCAACAAAGATGACGTGTGAAATTCTTCCTCACTTTTTAATTCACCATTTCCAGTGTATATTATATCTTAGTTCGTTGCTTTTATTCAAATTTTATAAATTTTCTTCATGGATAACATACAATTGTTATAAGTTTTGCGGGTGTATAATATAAACTGTTCTAGGCTATATTATATTATATATGTTATTTAGGTGTGCGGTCGGTGAATATTTATACACCGGAAAAAATGTATTTCAACGTCCTATACTCCTATATAATAATCGAAAACAAAAATAACGGAACATCTGTGTTGAAAATGTGCATAACAACCACTGAACAAACAGACAGCAGAAGGGCTTATAAAAGTCAGTAGTTCTAGCATTGTCTAATTATTGTTTGCCACATAAAGTCGTAATTAAAAGGTTATACTGCTTAGACACTGTAACACTGTCTTTTTTTTTTAAAAATGACTTCAACGTTTTTAAAGAATAATGTTGTAATACTTATAGTACTATTCATCGGAATTACATTGCTTCAAAATTCGTCTCAAACAGAAGGTAATATAATTTTTATTTATATACCTAGTATAATATGTATTAAGTTATGTCATTCATATTAGATAACTGTATAAGTTTTGTATTTATGTACTTTACTTACATTATACAGATCACAATACTAGAACTGACAAGTTTTTATGATATAAACCAAATTTTTTTTTGTATGTAGTAGGTTGTGGTGGTTGGGGGGGGTGGTATTAGAGTTAAATGTTTGAATTGAACCCCACAAATATGACCAAATTACTCCACTGACCGTTTACGAAAGAATTGTATAGAATAATAATGATCAATGATCAAAAAATATCTGCGATGTATACTTACTATAGGTATGTATTACATTTTAACATTTTACCATCTCATGGATCCAACTCAGAACAATAATTGTTCAACTTTTTAATTATTTTTTTTTCCCAGACAGTTGCCGCATTTTAAATAAAAATGATGAAAATGTTTGGTTGCTTGATATTAATAAATTGAACGTTTTGAAGTTTATTTTTCTTAATTTACAATACTTATAAAAAAAAATCATGCATGTTATGTATTTTTATTAATTTGAAACTTACGAGGAACCATATATTAAATGTTCAATCTATGCGAATAGTTATAAAAAAAAAGAAAATTCACATGTAGGTAGGTAGAATACAAAAAGATTATAAGGTGTCAAAATATTTTGAGCATTATTTTATATAAAAACATAATAAAATAGTTATTTGCTAAAAATTTAAATTATCTATAGAATATAGTTAGTTGTTACCTATTATCTATAGCATTACTACAAAATATCAAAAACCATTGGAGGAGAAGCTGTTATTTTAAATTTGAATATCCATCGTAAAAATTTGAATTTGAAACGCTCATATAAAATTAATGTAACTTTCCGATAAATTTTAATTTATTATGAGGTATAGAAAGACAAACATATTAGGAACCTTGTATTACATTTTCAACTTTCGTAAACATTTCAACTTAAGACGCTCAATAAAAAAACTATTGTAGTTTCCGCTGAATTGGAACGAGAGATCAAATTATTTGTTGACAATTATTAGATAAAAAAAAAAAACTCATTCCTTTAAATAGATTCAATTTTGTAAGAAAAATTGACGTGTAAACGTTTTGGTAAAATTTAAAGTGTCTACGGTTGTTCATTTTTGAGTTACAACAGAAAATCATCTTCGATTTTGACTGTTGATAGAGGACAAATTCTCATCAAGAAGTTCCCAATTAAAATAAGAAAAATACCTTTTCGACGAGCCATAGTTTATATTCGTGACTTAATAATTTAAAATAGGTACTTAGATAAATAGGACGATTTGTATGAGAAAAATCTTTAGTGAGTTAAAAAAAAATAAATTTTCTAAAATTTACCCCTAAAACAAATGTGCAATAAATTATTATACATTTGTTTTGTAGATAATTTTACCCGAGATCGTCTGGTGGCACTAAAATTACTTAAGGCTATCTTATTCTTAATAATATTATTTATAGGTAAATTACACAAATATTTAAAATAACACTAAATCAGATAATTTTTAACGTAAAACTATCGGTTAAAATATAATAAGACATATTGTAAAATCCAAAACGTTTTAACTACTGTATAAAATACGATAAACGAAAATTAATGTCTATAACGTGTGAATTCTAAATAATAATGAAAACTATATTATAATATAAAATGATAATAACAAAGTTGAGTAACATGTTCATTTCAAATAATATAAAATGAAATTATTTTTTTCAGATGATGAAAGACTTAAAGAGTAAATAACTTAAATAAATATTGTACACGAGATTACTGATTTCATTGATTTCCAATGATTTTGGTTTATTTAAAATGCGTCATAAATGTAGACAGCTCTTTTCCCTTGGTTGACAATCTTAAGGCTTTGTTACCCAGCTTCCGTAAAACCAGTTAGTGACCCGCGAGCACAGGTCCAACCAAACTTTTCTACTAGCTTTCCAGAGTGCTAGGCATAGACTCCTTCTCACCATCGTATACGCAATATTTAAGCCGTGGCTACTTTTTGGTACATTTATCTCCTGAAACTCGCTTGGTAGCTCCGTTTTTGAGAGAAAACTGTAGCGCAACTCTGCACCTGTCTTCGGACCACCAGTAGACTGTGCTCTAATTATAAGGGCCGGTAGTCTTGGGAGAATTGAGGCTGATTTGTTTCGAGCATCGGGGTCAGGATCAGTCCCGTTGGCATAAAAACTGAACTCCATGTACTTGTGATCGCTTTGGGATTCGGTATCTAGTATAGACCATCTGGAGACGACCACGCTTCTGTAAAAAGTGACGTCTAAGATCCAGGTGGAGTTACCCCTTTCGAAGGTGGAAGCATTTCTGGTGTTCGCCAAGAGTAGGTCGTGGCTTGAGTTCCCCTATTATATCATTGGTTTTGAATCAGCAGATACTATTCTTTACGTTAAAGTTATCAGTCAGAATTACGCCCGGTCAGGCTTAAAGACAAAAGGAACGGTGAAGGTCGTCGAGAAACGCAGTGAACTCCCATATTTGACAGTTGGAGAACAGTAACAAATATAATATACAATAGTGCTGCTGAAGCTGCACCACGAAAAATATTTGAGTGGCCAGAATTGTTGTGTACAATGTCAGCATGTCTAAAGGTTGTTATAGAGCACTTTGGGTAAGAGCTAAAGATCTACATTTCATCCACACTCCCCGCCATCAAGGGTTTTTTTACCTTGAGCATCTGAGATTTTCGCTTCGAGGCAGTTTGTTATGCTCTGTTCAGGTTAATTGTATCTCGCTCAGATTTGGTTCGGGGTCGTTCTGATCGGGGATAACAAAATGGAGATCCTCTAGCACATCGTCTGCGATGGACACAGCATCCTGGTCAAGGGATTCCTATTATAAGTACCTACTCTATATTCCAATACAAGTATATTAATATAATAGTTTTTTTTAAAATATTATTGTAGAAATACGTGGAACTTGTACTACGTTCCTGGCAACTCAGCATGCAGGGCCGTTTTGATGACAGCCAAGGCTTTGAATTTTGAAATGAATTTGATATCTATGGATCTCGTCAGCCATGACGAGTTAAAACCAATTTTTTGGCGGCAAGTTTTCAAAAAAATTGTCTTATCATATTGTATTGTAATTATACCTATTAATATATTGTACATTTTGAAGTGAATTTTTCTGAATTTACAAAAAAAAAATCAAGCATAATATGCATATTATGTATTTTTTATAATATAGTTAGTTGTTACCTATTGTCTATAGACTTACTACAAAATATCGTGGAGGAGAATCTGTTATTTTATGGTTGAATATCCATCATAAAAATTATCGTACAGCGTACGGTACAATAGTGCTGCTGAAGCTGCACCACGAAAAATATTTGAGTGGCCAGAATTGTTGTGTACAATGTCAGCATGTCTGAAGGTTGTTATAGAGCACTTTGGGTAAGAGCTAAAGATCTATATTTCATCCACACCCACCGTCATCAAGGATTCGCTAACGATGAGCAATTGAGAATAAATTAATTTTATATAATTTGGACGAATACGTATTGTATTATGATTATTGTTACGGATGGTTAAAAAATATTTCATACTACTATGTTAATGTGTTATAACTTATAGGTGGGAATATAATACTCCCTAGTTGAGTTATCCTCCCTTAATCTCTAAGTCCATGAACGCCTCGATAAAATTTCTGGATAGCGTAGGGGTTCGAATAGAGGGGAGTCTTTATGGTCCAAGCCTCCCAACCCTTAAAATATACCCCTCCCCAAAACAAGCCAAACATTTTCTAAAACTTTTTTAAGGGTATACAATATTATTATAGTAGGACTTTAGCCACACAAATATCAAACGCTATTTGTAATAGCATGGTGAATAATGGACCAAACAAAAGTAAATAATATGCTTTTAGTAGTGCATTATACTTTATTATTTATAGTATAGTCACTCGGAAACTTTTACTACAATACGTCCAAATTTTCAGTAAAATAATATGATTCACAATTTTCATTATACATGTAGGTTCTCATTTGTACAACTAAAATTGGACCACCACAGTATACTCCTTAATTGTTGTGAATAATATAAGTAGTCACAAACATAGTCATTCGTTTATACTATTACATATTAGTTCTAACTTCTAAATAACCATAAACACTAAGTTGAGTAACATGATCATTACAATTAACGTAAAATTAAATTATTTTTGTCAGGTGCAAGCCCGGATTAAGGATAAATTGGGCCCCGGGACACCATACACTTAGTGGGCCCCCTTTCAACTTTAACTTCAAAATAAATGTATCATTAGTCATTAGTCATTACATATTAACGACTTTATATTATTGTATAATTTTTTACTATACAAAAATAAAAAAATATAAAGGGTGTATCTTATGTCATTGTATGCTGCTTTTTTTTAACAATTAGGTATGGATCTATGATATGGAATTTCGTTAAAACAAAAAAAGACAATGGTTTCTTTATTTTTAACAGGCAATTTATTTTATAAGATAACTATTGAATGATATAATACATAAAATAAGATGTTTGGTTGTACACATTACTTGAAATACAAAGTTATTCCAACTAGTGATAAGAAAAGATAATTTTCACGAAATGATTTAATAAAGTAAATACCTAATAAATAATTTTAATCTGTAGCCCAGAGATTCCCAACCAGGGTGCCGCGAAATTATTTGAAATATTTTTTTAGAAAAAACAATTTCATTAAAAATAAATACAATGTAATAATTTGTTTATAAAATGTAATATGTAAATAGTATGCACCTTCACCTTACTACTTTTGATTATACTTATGCACTAATAAATAGAACTGAAGTACTCTATAGTATAGACTATAGAGCATAGGGTGTCTCCGGATTTTTAGAAAATGTCCAAGGGTGCCGCGAGTCAAAAAAGGTTGGGAACCTCTAGCCACTAGGCTATAATAGTTATTATCCAATTTTGTTTATTAATACAATAAATTATGATAAATACTATTGATTGTACTATATATAATATACTTTATAGTATGTGTATAGATTTATCTACATGTAGAAATCGTCAAAGTCTTATAATAAACTTGAAAACATTATTTGTCCATTATTATGTTAATTTGGTATTAATTTTAATTTTGTTAGTATTATATGGATACATCACGGATTTAGAGTATTATATTGCTGGATTATATTGCTTTATACATACTTACTTAAAACCTATGAAGATTTAGTGAAATTTATGGGATAATTTATATTTAGCATATAATATAACTTTTAAAGATAGTTTTAATAGAGTTAGATATGATACCCATGTATAGTTAAAATATTAATTCTTATTTGAAAACTGTAACACAAATAAATTAGAGTTAGTAATGTATTTATTTATTTTAAATATACAGACTGTGATTCCGGACAACGATCAATCGATCTCGATCTTTATAATTTGAGTAGGTTTATACATTATACATTTAATAATATAAGACCATTGACTGATAGTACTAATAGTATAATATTATACAATTATTACATGGTCTTAGATTCTGAGTGGAGCGAGGAAGCTACTGGTTTTACAATGGTGTTTGTTTATTTAATTTTTTTTTATATATCCTGTATACAAAATTTCTACCAGAAGGAATCCTTTGATTTTCACATATAGTATTTTATCTTTTAACAAATTGGATAAAGATGGTAGGTACTTTAGAGAGATCATTTTCGATTTTATTAATAGTTATTTAATGCCACGGTAAAAACCACAAAAAAATTACGAAAAACCACTAAAAATTGGATTTTAATTTCTAACGCTTTGTTTATCACCATAGAAACGAATAAAAAATAGTAATATTATAATATTAATTCAACTTACATGATATTATAATTAATGACAATATAAAATATCTAGACTGACAAACCGTTTCCTCTCAGAATCGTTTTTCTTATACAATGATAGAATATCATTGAATTCAAGTTTAATACAATCCATTATATATTGGCGCCCTTCTAATCTACTGTACAGCAGAGCGACATCCACTTACCTGCTAATTTAATAATCGATGTTTTTGTTGTAGCCGTGCAATCATGGTGTACTTGGTTGAAACTTACAGAAAAGAAGATGATCCACTGTTCCCCAAGGACACGCAAAAACGAGCTCTTATCAACCAAAGATTGCTGTTTGACTTGGGCACCTTGTACCCTGCTTTTATCGATCAATACGACGTGGGTATTCACATCATATTATAACAACGAATTATTAACGGTTATTAATTGTTCGTTGTTGTTCGAAACGATGACTTGCTCGTTCTGTGTTTTTTTTCTTCTAATTCTTTCGCAGGCGCACTAATGTGCCCTACTACGTCCTATCAATTTTTAAACGTTTTACGCAATACCTATACAATTCATGGTCTAAAAACTGAAATTACCACTCATCATATTATCATTAGGCCGTACATTTCGTCAGGGCTTGTCATAATAATATTATGACTATGATTCCGGGGGACTATTGGTCAAATCAATATAAAAATCAATAATCAAAAAGCGATTTAGTGGATGTAGCTCTGCTGTACAGTATTTTACAAGTGGGTCACTGTAATGGATGGTATTAAATTTGAATACATTAAATTAAATTTGAATATTAAATTTGAATATAATAGGTACCTATAATAAATTCCAAATTAATCTTATCACAATATCCATTAGGTACATATAACGCGTTATACATCAACAACAAACCGTGATACTATCATAGATATATACCTAATAGTACACTTTAGAAGTTTCATGTACACACCAATAATATTATACAATCACAACAAAATAACTAAAATAGTTTATCTAGGTTTTTTAATATGTAATTTCGTCCAAATTTGAACTTAAAATGACTATAAAATTTAACTGTGTTTGTAAATTTTTTAGATTTTTTTTTTAACAGAATTAAATACTTACATGAAATCTTATTTTAAATTTTCAATCCTTAGATATAATAGTTGAACATTTTACAAATTTTTAACTACAAAATAATATTATTCAATTTTAAATTTGATAAATTTTATCAAAATTTGAACTTTAAAGGCTTATAAAAAAAATTATGAGCATGTATTTTTAATATTATTCAACTGCTATTGTAACAATATATCAGGAGTCTTGATAAAGGTAGATAATGTTGTATTACATTTTAAAATCTTAGATTTAAGAAGACAATTTTTTATGAATTTCTAACTCAAAATGATTTCCAAATTTTCGTCATTTTTACGTATTTTGTCAATATTTGAACTTTAAATGCCTATAAAAAAAATTTGTGACTATTTATTTTTAATTTTTTTCATCTGCCTTTGAAAGAGGTACTACGAGGCTTCTATTAAATTTTCAAGCTTTTGTACCCAACAAATAAAATGTTATTAGTATTTATAGAAAAAAAATCCAAACAAAATGAAAACTGAAAATGTCCTTAAAGAGCTCAAAATTTTGGAAAATGTTATGGTGTATTGATGTGAGTTGCACCAAAAACCAAAATCGATTTTCTCGAAAACAGAGGATGTGTAAAATTCCCGTTTTTCCTTAATTTTTCTTTTGTTTTTCACGGCGCTTTTGAAAACTACTAGAAAATTTTGACATACTGAAGTACCAACTAGATTCACTTTCCTATCAGAAAAGATACTGTTGAAGAAAATCCAAGCGTTTTTACTGTCCCAAAAGATGATAGACACAAAAAAAAAAGAAAAAAAATCATTGTAAAATCATTGTAAAATCAATACATTCATCGTCCCACTCAGAATCTAAAATTGAACATTTTATAATTTTTTAATGTAAAACATGTAAAAACATGAACTTCAACCGCTCATAAAATATAATTTGACTTTCTGGTAGACATTTTTTGTTGATAAAATTAGACAAACCTTATGTATGAAACCTATGAGGATCCTTGTATGAAATTCTTATAAAAATATTAGGTTTAAAAGTAAAATTTTTTATGAATTTCTAACTCAAAATAATTTGCACATTTTTACGTTTAAATGCTTATAATAATAAAATGATTACTTTATATTTTTAATATTTTTCAACTGTCAGTGTAAACATATATTATTAGCCTAGTATTGAATGAAGCGTTTTTTACCCAACAAATATAATTTTATTGACATTTATAGAAAAAAAAAAAAAAATAATTGGATACTGAAAATATAGAGTTACACCAAAAACAAATGAACGTATACATGAAATTTTCACTGGTTGTTAATATTTGCATTTTCTATACACGATAACATTTTTAAAATATTATGATTTGTTTTGAACTTTTTAGGGACATTTTCATTTTCCATTTTTTTAAAGTTTTTTTTCTAAAAATATCAATACAATTTTATTTGTTGGTTGCAAAAGCTTGAAAATTTAATAAAAGTCTCCCAGTATATTGTTTCAAAGGCAGATGAAAAATATTAAAAATCCTTAGTCACAATTTTTTTATAAGCATTTAAAGTTCAAAAATTGACAAAATATGGAAAAAAACACGAAAATTAGCAAATTATTTTGAGTTGAGAATTCGTATAAATTTTACTTTTCAAATCTAAGGTTTAAAATGTAATACAAGATTACTCATAAGTTTGTTTACCTTTATCAATAAAAAAATCTCTACCGGGAAGTCAAATTAAATTTTTATGAACGTTTGAAATTCAAATTTTTACAACATTGGATATTTACTCGATTTCTCATGTAGCGATTTCCTTATTTTGTTGTAATTCAAAAACGAATAACTGAATTTTGACAAAATTTATCAAAATATCGAAAATTATCAATCATTGTAATTAATAAATTATAAAATGTTTAGTTTTTATAGTTAAGGATTGCCAATTTAAAACAAAGGTTCTCATAAATTGTTCATTCTGTAAACAAAAAATCTAAAAAATATATGAACACAGTTATTTTTTACAGACATTTTAAATTCAAATTTGGACGAATATACATATTAAAATCAATATTAACGATCTTGGTTTTTTGTTGTAATTTAAAAATATTATTCGTGGATATATGAAACTGAAAAATCAAAATATTATGGCCTATCCATACAATCTACCATAGTATAAGGAATAAGAAGTATGCTCAATGATAAGACTGTGGGTATTTTAAGGGGCAATGAATAATTTATTCATACATTTCATATAATTTAATACCATAGATAAGTATATAATATGTTTTATACCTAGACTGACATAACGTCTCCGCTCAGAATCGTTTTTCTTATACAATGATATTATATCATTGAATTCAAATTTAATACCATCCATTATACATTGACCCCCTTGTAACCTACAGTACAGCAGAGCGACATCCTGCACTTACCCACCTTTTTTTATTTTGTTTTTAGCAAATCTTCTGAAAACTATTGGAAATTTTAAATTTAAATAAATCTCTACAGACGACCTTAAAACAAATTTCTCAAAAGCCACGCATAATCAGTACAATAAAATACACTATCGATCCACTAATTTTTATTTGTATGCATACAAAGTTGAAGATTTTTTTTTCATTTCACAGTTCTTGTTTACTTTTGGTCATGCGAAAAGAACAAACTATAAAGAAAAGAAACTCCACAAAGCGCTCGGGGTTTTGGAAACATTTCTGACATCTTCCGATTGGGTTGCTGGCGATTCAATGACTTTGGCCGATATATCTTTGGTAGCTTCTATTTCAGCCTTTGAGGTATTTTCTTTTTGAATTTTTTTTATACATCATTATTATAACGTTGGCTCACGTTTAACACAAACTTTCGTATTTTCTTCAGGTTTCCCGTGTTGACTTGAATATGTACGAAAAAGTCTCTAAATGTCTTAAAATGTGCAAGACTACAATGGTGGGATACGAAGAAATCAATGAAGTAGGGGCAGAACGATTAAAAGAATTTGTAGACAAAAGATTTGCTGAAACAGATTCTTAAACGTTTTTAGTTACCAAGGATAAAGTATTAAAAGCGACTGAAGTACTAAGAAAAGCTGTAACAGCTGAGATCATAGGTGAAGAATTCTCTGATTCAATAAACAAAATAAATCAAGCCGTGTCGGTCTATTTGTCATTTGAAATTGTAATAATAAATACTAAAAACTAATAATAATTTAATGAATATAATATTACACTATACATTAATATGAAAAATAAAAATGAGTTAATTCAAAATAAATAAAATAAGTTATTTCAAATTGTAAAGGTTAATTAAACCTTTCACCAATTTATCCTTTTATATAATTAACCAACAAATGTTTTTGATATTTGTTGTAACGGTGTTGACTTCGGACATAGATACTATTTGTTCGTGAAATTGTGTGTGATGGCGATTATGATAGTTTGTTCTTTTACACTAGGTATCTGATCAGTGGTGTATTTATGATGGGGGGATCAAGGGGATCAATACTCCATAGGTTTTATTTAAAATACACAATTTTTCGGAGTCCTAACTTAAGGATTTTAGCTTTAAAAGCGGGGCTACTGGATACAATCATATCCCTCCCTCCCATGACAAAAACCTAAATACGCCACGGTACCTGATCACAAAGGCAAACGATATTTATAATATTATTATACTCGGACACTCGGTGCACACGAGTTGCGTACCAAGCCAGGTAAACGAACCTGTTTGAACGAATTGCGTTCCGGACGCAACTACTTTTCCACTTAACATTTTTTTTAGTTTTTTTTTTTATTTATATTTTTTAATTTTTTACCAAAAATAATAATAATATATTAAATATTTATTATTAACTTAATATTATTAAATGAAAAATCGCTTTTAGTCGTTTCTACTTTTATAGATATTTTTAAAAAAATATTACGGACTATAATATACGGACTTTGCAATCAATATGTAACTATGGATTACAAGCGAGATACTATATAAGATAACATCGTACAACACTACAGTGGTTAGATACAGGTGCCCGATTAATATAGATATTAGATAATCAACTTTTCAGACATAACTGATACAATTAGTGACACCAGAATTGTTTAACGAGTAACAAGTAACATTCGCTACCTACATCATTTCGGTGTGGCCTGTTCATGTTTACCATTTAATATTAAATTAAATTCGTTAATAGTCATTACTCATTATATAATTTTTTTTATTAAAATGGAAAATTAAATAATTATTTCAACAGTGTTAAGTGAAAAAGGTAAAACATTAAAAGTTGTTAACGATTTTAAATTTGGATATCACAAAGATTATTCGATTGGAGATATTAGATGGAAATGTACAAATGAAAACTGCAGAGCTTTTTTAAGAATAGATACACAAGTTAAAGTAAAGGTTAGTGTCAGTAATTTAATTCACATTCACTAAAAACTAGAATTAAAAATTCTGAATCGCCAAAAGTTTAGCAATAGCTTAAAACGGAAAGTAATAAGTAATTACAGACGTATGAGAACGACCTAGTAAATTATTAGGCTAATGGCCTTAGTTGCCGGGCTCAAGCTCAATAAAAAAAAAAAAAAAATAAATATTTAATCATTATTAATTAAAAATTAAAATATTTATACATTTAAAAGTTGGATTTAATGATACTATAATAATTAATAATTTTTGGGATATTATCCTTGCCACCCGCAATTATGCCACGAATTACTGCACTTACTATGATTATTGTTACACAAATAAGAAATAACTACCTACGTATCTGTGACCTGTTCTATACAATATATTTTATTCATCAAGATATACTACTTATTTTTTAACAGCGTAGGTGTAATACATAAGTACATAACCATTGTATTTATTGATAATTTGTACAACATAATAGACAAAGACTTGTTTCTTTTTAGGGGCTAAGGGGAGGAATACGATTCCGCACGTTTTTTTTTTTGAACACGATTCCGCACACTTTATTGTTCATAGGAATACAATAGGAATTGGGTGCAACGTTGTCAAATTTATTACAAACGGTTTATTATAAAAATTTATAATGATATTATAAATAACATTATAAAAAAAAATAAAAAAAAAATATAATAATTATTGTAAAAAATATATAACAAAAATAGTTATTCCTAGTAAATAGATATACCTAATAAGTTGTCATTACAATTTAATAAAAAAATAGTTATCTCATATACCTATAGTGAGCCGTTATTACACAACAAAAATATGATGTAAAATAATTTAATATAATTTTTTCCCTTGATACATAAAGCCAATAGATGTTAAATATTTTATAATATTTTTATGCGTTTTATAATTATTAAAATGTTCTATAAGGTTACATATAGGTTTTAAATCGGATGATCCCATTTTACTGTGCACGTTTCTAGCAATTGAATTGCTTTTTGTCATAGTTTCGGCTTGTATTTCCATTAGTACAGATATTACTACATGCGTTGGTGGGTGAGCACTGTGAAATTGTCCGTTGTACATTTTATGAAAACTTTCTGCTCCGTTTGTGGTTCTAACAATACAATTTTTTTCAGTATCCCTAAATAAAATGTGTTATAAAAAATAAAATGTAAGTTACCTTGGACTAATATTGAAGGTTCACTTGCAAGTGATTGTGAACATAATTCAGGGGGGAATAGACAACCAGATTCTATGTACGACTTAAGTATGTAGGTAATCAGAAAATATGTAGCCATTTTCATTTGGACACGTACTCATGAGTTCTAAAAACCTTCTTCAACCTTTTCCACTGGGAGAAACGGTAATCCAAAAAATGATTTAACCAAATGCCTAATTCATCTCCATCTATCAAATATGAAGTTCTTAAAATATTGTGTTCTTGTATCTAAATATCAAATATAAAGTATTATATTATAACTTATAATATGGTAAATATGGAAAAGTTCAGGTCCCTAAATAATATGCACTAATTGTATCAGTCTCATGTTACAAGAATAAACGTGCGGAATCGCATTCGTTACATGGCAACGTCGCATTCGAATACAATACGGAGTTGGGTAGAAAAAAAAGGTAATAATATAGAACAATGAACGTGCAGAATCGTGTTCTACCCCTACCCGGGCTAAGCCTCCTGGTTCCGGGACATTTGCGGTCGGCACCTTTTGCGTGCCATTTGCGGTCAATTTATTTTTGTCTACCTGACTATAAGATTTGGGTGCTATATATAATATTTTATATACTATATACTTAATTTATGTTAATAGGTATAATATTATAATACTTTTTTACTATAATCGATATAGTTGTATACTTGTCAAATATATTATATTTAAACTTCCCTTCACACTTTTTTTAAGCATTTTTTTAAGCATTTTTCTAAATCATTATCTAATTCATAGACTACTAATGTTTTTCCAATTCTTTCGTCTAATTGTATGTACATTTTTTTTCTCCTTTTGCCTTCCATAGTCAAGAAGCTTCTTTAATATAAAAGTTCCGCATTTTCAGTCTCTTTTTTAAGACAGTTATATAAGTTCATAAACGTTGGTCTCGGTGTATTTAATATTTTATTAAGTTTACTATTCCAACCCTCAACAATATTATTGGTTCTGTGTCTTCTTTTATGACAGTTTCACATTCCCCTTGAAATAATTGGATTTTCCAACCACTGTTCAATAAAATAATCATAAAATAATTTAAGTTTATCATTATCGTGGTATTACTCATTATAATAATCCAACCTTCATCTATGTCACTAATTGGAATATGAGCTAAAGCAGAACACATTCTAACGTGTAATCGAATATCTGCATTATTTTTATAGGTACTTGCTAATCCAATATTTTGAATTTTTCTCCAAAGTGCTTAATTAAAATGAAAGTTGCAACCGTGTATTTTAGCACTAGGAAATATTTGTGTAATTCATTGAATAGTCGAGATTTCAAAGTCTAATGTAAAAGATTCAGGATTAAAATTTGGAATATGTGTTTTAATCATCGAAAATAAACGTTCGTAAACCATTTTTGTTTTATTCGGAAGTAATATATATATCACAGGTATTATATTTATTTCTTCGTTCGTAGACCCAATATCTATATGTATAGTGTAAATTTGGTAAAATTGTTTTAATGCCGACGATGTTAAAAATTTTAAAAATAAAATAAAATATACGTAAACGTTATCGCCTTATCGATAATGACATCATTTTTTTATAATAATTATAATAAGGTTTTAAAAAAAAATTAGGGTATGTTTTTTATGTAAGTACAGTGAATTTTGATTGACAAGTATATAATTATATCAATTAGAGTAAAAAAGTATTATAATATTATACCTATTAACATAAATTAAGTATATAGTATATCAAAACAAAAACCCTCCGTCGAACTCCGTGTAAAAATTAGCTAAGTAAAAAAAAGAAGAAAAAAAATCAAAAAAAAAATCATTGTATAACCAAAACATTTTTCGCTTCATATAGAATTTATAAAACCAGTAATTTCAAAGCACTATAAAGATGTGATATCATAAATAAATGCTAAGTAGACTGAATTTAAGTATATTTAGTCTGTTTCGATAATTTATTTACTTGGTGAGGAAATTTTTTACTTCATACGATACAATATAAGAACCGTGGCGCTGGATGAATAATTAGACAATAAGACATTATAAATTAAAAATATTACAGTGAACATTTCTATACTAATCAAAATAATACTCTACAACCAATAATAACACTGTATACTCTATATATTAATACTAAAATTTCCTCGCCAAGTAAATAAATTATCGAAACAGACTAAATATACTTAAATTCAGTTTACTTAGCATTTATTTATGATATCACATATTTATAGTGCTTTGAAATTACTGGTTTTATAAATTCTATATGAAGCGAAAAATGTTTTGGTTATACAATGATTTTTTTTCTTCTTTTTTTTACTTAGCTAATTTTTACACGGAGTTAGACGAAGGGTTTTTGTTTTGATATCACCAATTTTTATCATTTATACCTCAATACATTTTTATTAATTTTGCTTCTCGAGGATTAGCATATAAATGTCTTTGCCACCTCTAGGCCATCTTTCTTTATTAGAAGTGAGATCATTACATCTGAACCAAAGATTTGATTTTTTTATTAAACTTGTATAATGACCATGATGTAATGATTCCCCGTGATGACAAATCGCAGAACATATTCTATACGTTTTTTCATCAACTTTTAAAGATGTTGTTGACAAAGATATTAATGATACATTATGCATTTTTTCTTGTAATTCATTCCATAATTGTAATTGTATACACAAATATTGTCTTGTACTAGATACGTGCATTACTTTCGAATGGTTTCCTGTGATCCTACAATTACTACAATTAATTTCAAGTATTGTTTCTTTGCTAAATTCATTAAATAATGAATTTAATGTAACTTTATTCTCAATAACTGCTAGAGGTAATATATAGTTGGGCGTTTTATTGGTTCTAACATCATAGCAATTTAAACATGTTAATATCGATATTAATTCATGTTTTAGACAATTCTTAAGTGAACAATTATTCTTAAGTGAACCACTATGACAAAGAAGGGCATTGATAAATTCAGCTGCATCTTACATCTTTATAGCTTGTATTTTTACAAACACTAATTACTTTAATGCTAGCTCCATTCGAGTAAAGACCGCGATAAGACTGCAGAAGTTAACGTAATTATACTAGTGAAAAAAGAAGTGGATTGCAGTGAGTTTTGTTTATATCGCGATTGTTTATATCTGGTATTTTTGATTTCACAGGTAATGATGTATTTGTTTATTCATAGAGATTTGTATGCACACTGTGCATAATTAAATAAGATCGATTTATTAACATGTTATTATTTTATTTCAGTTTATAATAATGGATAGTTGGCTCAAAACGGGGCGCCTCGCAAGTGGAAAAAATGTTTTAGCATGTTCACTAGCAGAAAATAATGAAAATATTTCGGAAATAGATGTTTCTAGTTTGTCAGTAAGAAATAAGAATATTATATACCTAGCGTCATAAAAGCCTTATTTATAAACCTATTATTTGTTTATTACATTTTTATTACTATATTTGTTACTATATTTGTTGATTTTGTACAAAATTATAATATATTTTCTTTATCAACATAATTATGAATGTTTTACTATTTTAAATGACTTTCTGAAAGAAAATGAGTTGCAAGTAACTTCAGATGTGGAAAAAAATATACATGAGCATTTAATAAGCCTAAAAAAATCCTTGAAAGAGTATTTTCCGGAGAAGTTACAGGACATGAACTGGTTGCAGAATCCATTCGCAAATCATACCAAACCATCAATGCTTACTGTGTCAGAGTATGAGAATTTAATTGATATTAAATGTTCATCTTCTCTTAAACAAAAATTTGGAGCTGAAAATTTTGATCTAAATAATTTTTGGATTGGACTTCAAGATGAATATCCTACATTAAAAAAAAAAAAAATCTACATGGGTAGTAACCATAATATGTTCCTTAGCATAAATATAAAATTTCACAATCATACATTTATTTTTACCTTGTTAATAACTAATTAGGGCCGTATTAATAGCCGATACTTAAGAATAAGTTTTGCTTAAGCTAAACTTTTGACTCAAAAGGTATTCATAAATGAAAATTTTGCTTCAGAAAAGAAAAAATATTAGGTACTTAAATTAGTTAAATTAATTTGGTTGAGACCTACCTTAAGTATTGCTTTTAGTCATTATCACATTTTTTTTTTAAATTATCGAAATTAGATTAAGCAAAATGTCTCATTCTTGAGCATCAACTATAAACACGGCCCTTAATATTTTATTTATCAGGGATATATAATTTTCTTTTAAATTCATAATTTTATGTTATTTCCTTTATTTATATTAATGATATTAGATTTATAAAAATATATTTATTCAATTTTTTTTTATTGACCATACGAAGTTATTTTGAAAACATTTTAAATTTTGAGATTTTTTTTGCATTTTAGGGGGCAAATGAAAATGACTCAATTTTACCCAAAATGTGATGTATGCATCAGTCATATGCCCCTAGAATTTTGGAATAGTAATTTTTTTTTTGCTTCTAAGGAGAATTATTTCGTACAGAAATTATTTTCGTAAGGTTCATAGCAATATTCGCTACAAAACATAAGTATATTTTGTAATTAGGTAATTTATTAACTTTGATATTTAATTTGGAATTTTCTTTTTATTATTATTTCATTGTAGTTGCATTAATAATATTAGGTAGATAAAAATATATTTATCATATTTTTTTTTTTTTCAAAAATCGAAAGTAATATTTTTGTTCGTGTGTTTTTGCAACAAACTTCACAGAAATAATTTCAGTACGCAATAAATCCAAATGGGTGCAAAAAAAAAAAATTACTTTTCTAAAATCCTGGTAACTTTCTTTATTTTATGTACAAATCAGATTTTGTGTAAAATTGAATAATTTTATTGGCACGCTAAAATACAAAAAAATCTCAACATTTAAAATATTTTCAAATAACTTGATATTATTGTCAATAAAAAAAAATTGAATTAATATTTGTTTATCCGTCTAATATCATTGTTACACGTAAGGAAATAACTTAAAATTTAAAATTAAAAAAAAAAAATAATATATTTTCCTGATAAATAAAGTATTAACTTTATTAAAAATAACGAAAAAAACTTCCAACACGAACAATTATTATCAAACATTTTAATTGAATATTTACCTCAGGGGGAGACCATCAACGCAG